CGAAGGGGGCGGCGGTGAAGCGGTTCCCGCGGGGGCTGATGGCAGGGGGGCTGTGCCCGCCGGCCTTTGTCTGCGGCGGCGGCTGCCAGCTGGGTTACGTAACGGGGTCGGCGGGCCTCCGGGTGGCCGTTGGAGCGGCCGTTTGGGGCAGACCCGGCGGGGGCGGGGGAGGGGGCCGCACCTGTCAGCGCTGAGGTGAATGCGGTTCGTTTTGTGTTAGGTGCCCGTGAGGAGTGACGGTATCCGACCAGCCCGTCGCTTGGCTGCGGGTTTGTAAGGAAAAGTCGAGGTTTCTTCCGTTCTTTCTTCCCGCTCCACCTCCCTCGGCAAAGCCCCCGCCGGGTTGCCCCAGCCGTGGCCTCGCACAAAACGCAGAGGTGCCGGGCCGGGGGGCTCCCTACCTCCGACAGCCGTGGGGTGACACGGGCCGGCCAGTGCCGAGTCAGTGAGGAGTAACACGGCCTGGCTGGTGTGAGGGAGGAGACGACAACGGCCCATAGCATGCACAGGGGGAAAAGCCAGGAAAGCGGCACGGTTCTAGATTGGCTGCGGTAACGACAAGGAGCAAGACCGCAATTGTACTGTGGAGGTTATTCTGAATGGGTGCCTTCAGATCACCTCCCACGTGAACTCATATGCATTACACGCACAGGAACACATGAAAAACTGTTTTACAATGTTTCGTAGAGTTTATAGTTTAACATAGTCTGAATTTATATTGAACCTGCCAACTGTAAAGTTACGGGGCTTAGTTGTATTCGTATGCTGTTTGGGATTCAGAGGCTGCATGGTCTGCTGGCATTAACAGCATAATTAATAGCATTTCTTTGCTGAAGAATTTCATCATTTCAATGTTTCAGGTTTTTGGAGTTTCCTGGTCCAGCTATAAGTGCAATACTTTTAGTTCAAAAGATGGAGGACTTCTTTGTAAAAAATTACATTTCCCATCCCTACAAGGCTGCAAGATAACATGCTTCCAAAAGTCTGTCAGGTCTGGTAGGTGTTGAGAAGAAAAAATCATCTGCTGAAATGGATCTGTGAAAAAAAGCAATGTTATTGGTAAATGAGAAATTAGTGTAACACGTCTATACAATTTTAGTATGACTGTATAGTTCACCACATGAACGTTATCCCTGTGTCTATTGTTAGAGAATTGTTAACGCTGTGTCTTTGCAAGACCATCCATGGGAAGAGGGGAATAATTAGTAATGCGTAGGTTCTGTACCAATGAGTAAAAGCACATCACCACTTACAGTAGGGTATGGTAATAATGTATTATATTAAGGTGCTGTTTTTACAAGTGGCTTCAAATATTGGTGACAACCTGTACAAACATTTATAATATTACTGTCATAACACCCTACTAACACCACGTGTTGGCACCCTTTAGCATTTTAATGCTTCACAGGCAAGAGGAAAATATTGCAGAGTAATATTTATAATGATAAATTCAGTAACAATCTCAGATGGTTTACCTATTAATCCATTCATTCCCAATCAACAACTTAAAAAGAAATGCAACCTACATCAACTATAGCATCATATTACATGACATCACTCGCTTTCTCAATCAAGAATAGCATTATCATTGTCAAGTGTCATTTTGAAGTCAAAAGCATTTCACATTGTCCTATCATCTGATCAGCTTAAGGAGAACTTAGGACGTCTGGTGTTAATGGTTAGACTGCTCATTTGAAGAGGGTATTGAACACAAAACCCTGCTCTTTTTAATTCACTTTGTGTGTAGGGTTCCTGTGCAGCCTCAGAAATGAGCAACCAAACAGCAAAGGCAGCAGAACAGCTTTGATGTAGGTAATTGATCTTTCAGAATGCCAGCTGGAACAGAGTCCTCTGCACCTGCAGCAGCCTCTGATTTACAAACACATTTTGTCTCCCATCCTAAACAAACAGGGATAAAAAAAAAACATCCTTTGGCTTTGTGCCATCTCTTGTGGATTGCTTCTTACATGCTTTGGCCACCTAGGTCTGGAAGCTGAGCAAGATGACTGACAGCACTTCAAATTCACTGTTAGTTACTAGTCAACACTGAGTTCCAGTGTGATGTTTTGGCACAAAAGCCTGAGGCAGTATTAAGCAGGAGCGATATTACCTTTTCTTGCAGTATGGCAAGACAGTTATTCAAATTCTGTTAGTTTATAATTCATCTGACTAGTCACAGGAGTACTAATGGACAGTATTTCAATGACAAAGCAATGTTTCTTGTAGCACCATACTTCATAACACCAGGCAACGCTTTGATTTACTACTGACATCAGAGAAAAAGTCCCATCCGGATGATTAAATCTACTTCCTATCTCTAAGATGTAGATATCAGTGGACTTCCTCTGACCAAAGGCTGGCAAAGTCTAATGCTAGTAAGTGCAGGAAGTTTGAGAAGTTTGTATCTTCAAAGGGGCATAGTTGCAGACTCTGAAATTCTTACTTCCCACCAAGTAGAGAGCTCTCATCCCAATTCCTCAGTTCAATCATTTCTTAGATCCAGCACCTCTGTCTTTGTGTCAGCTCCTGGTTTTTGATCTATGAATTCTTTGACATTTTCCAGGGAAAAAAATGCACGTCTGAGTGACTCAAGATGAGAAATGGCTAAGCAGCACATTGAAGACTGTAGTTCCATGAGTTATCGCATTGCTAATCTCACCACGTGACACATTTAGTGAGATAGAGTTGTGGTCTAAGAAAAGTTCAAGATCTGTGTCCCTAAGTCTAGTTATTTCCTAGACACTTCATTTTAGTTGAAATTCATAGGATAGCAGTATTTTTCCATGGGGAAGCTATAGAGCTTTCTGACACACAACAAGATTTATAGAGTCAGAGGTATTATCTACCTCAGAATATTTTCCAATCTAAATATCATACTAGCTTGTAATGCTATTTGTGTTCATTTGATGGTTTTGCAACCATGAAAACACTTTGTTTTCTGCTTAGCAAATGAGTGACCACTGATGAGGGGGCATTTTTTAGGTTTAAAAGGAGTTCTGAGATAAGAATTTCATAGGACCAAACTCAAGTGGTGATACAAGTTGTATTGGCCTTGGTGGAATTACAAGCCATGTCCCAGCTGTGAACACGACTTCAGCTTCCCACAAGAATAACACAAATATTTTCAGTTAATTTACAAGTGCAACTACTGACTAATTACTGGTATGGCTAACACTGGTTAGTGGCTTTCTGGTGAGTATTGAGCTGCTTTTTTAGTATGAAACTTAAGTCTCAATCCTGGATAGTAATATCCTCTTGCAAGACCAACCCAACATCATTGTAATCTGATAGCAACAACATTGTTGTTAGGATGATTCACAAAGCATTAAGCATGTCTATACATCTACAGAGTTAGAGGCCAGAATCTGAAGCTAAGGCATACAAAATAATAACTGATAACCAATCGCATTATGTCTGATTTTACTTTCTCAAGATAATGTGTATCTGAGCCTTAATTTTCTTTCTGCAAATGCTGTACTTTCGGTGTAAGGATCCATTATTTCATGTGTTCTTAAAGTAAGGATAACTGTATAAAGAAACTGCAAGTTGTATTCATGCGAGTTCCCACCAACATTTGGCAAGTTTTGGAACAAAGATGATGAGAGCTACTAACCGGGATGCAAATTACTTACAGAGAACTACCAAGTATCAGCAATAATGGTCACAAAGTCTACTCAGCCAAGTTCTACTGCTTGCAGTCTGCAAGCCGGTTTGTTCAAGATAAGCCCAGACAAGTCTTGCAGCAGTCTAAGCAGATAGACATGAAAACGCAGCCTCAGAAGTCCCTTTGGAGCAAACATATGCAAAACGAGATATGCAGACCACTAGTGCCAGAATCGCTACTTTGAAACTGTAGGGAAGAATAAGGCACCCTGCTATTTCTTTCCTGTGAGAGAAGGAAGAGGTATTTTTTGTGCCAAGCACCTCAAGCCAGGAGCTGCTACCTCTGCTGCTTGGGAGAGGAAGGGGTGGGAGTGGTGGCACACTTCCTCCCTCATGCTGTGCGGTCAGAGGCAAAGGAGTAGCTGGGGCTGCAGCTGCACCATGGTGGTGCTTGGGGCAAACATTCAGAAACACAGTTCTGTTTCTATAGTGGGAGTGCCTCAGCAAGCCTCTGTTCTGGAGATTTTTACAGAGCTCTTTCGTATTAATTCCCCTGACAAGTCTATACAATGGTGAAGCAGGAATAGTATGACATACCTGGTCCATAGCTCACTGTCACACAGTGACTGCAGGTGTGGTTCCAAACGCTCTTACATCCAAACTGGCTCCAAAATGCATTAACTATAAGGTACTTCTTACAACCATTTTATACACAGAACAGTGATGGGCCTTAATAAGATAAAACGTATGCATTATCCTACAAAAGAGACACAGATCTGCAGTCCTGAATTAGGGGTGGCCACAATCAGAATATGGGCAGTTGCCTCCCCTTTCATTACTGGTGCTACATGACCATGGTCATTAATATGGATAAAAACTCAGACTCCAGTGCCAGATTTATCCTTCTAACTTT